CCCCCCCCCCCCCCCCCCCCGCAGACGCAATCCAATCCCAAGCCATGTGAAGTCCTCCACCTGCAACTCCGCAACCCCACAGCTCTCACCCTCCGAGACACTGATTCTCTGCTTTTCAACCCTTCCTAAGGTCTACGGTTTGAACAATGCTGTGGGAAGTGCTTCTCCGGAGAGAGCCGTTCAAGTGGTGGCCTTCTCAGAATTTTGCTTTATGTTCGGCTTGCGGGTTCAGGGTTTGAGTGTAGGCTTCATAGTTATTGAGCTGTTGAGGACGGCAGGAAGAGGAGGTGGAGGGCCCTGTTACAGTCGGGAAGTTGAGCAGCGTTTGGGTTGTGCAAGGGTCCGAACACGGAGTTTTTCCGTCAGAATAGTGTCTGGTTTTAAGTGCAGAGGATTCATCAGCCAGGATAGAAGGAAGGCTTTCGGGCTGTGACTTGGTTTGAGACACAGATCAGACATTCCGCCGCCTGTCTGGCCAGAGCAGGATCTGATCTGATACTGTCTGATGCTGGGTGTACTTTTCTTGGTGAACACCATCCGAGGCCAGGAGGCTGCGATCGGGCATGGCAGCAGCCTTAGCTCCAAATGCACACGCCCCTCAATGGAATTCTAGGATTCTAGGGAGCAGAACGCGTCATAGAGTCGCAGAGTGTGAACATTAGCGCAGCTCCTCGAGGTCATGATCAACGACACGTCGGGTTTTGGCCTTGGTTGATCTTGGTTCTCGAGTAGCTCCGAAGGTGCTGTCGCACGGAGTGTAGCAAGCTGCACTCGCATCAGTTGGCTTATGGTTAACGTCATTATCAGTCTTGGCAATAGTTTCAGGATCAGGGTGCGCATCACTATAACGCATGTTACTATGATTATTGACGAATGCTGTCACCACTATTCTAGTCTTGCTATGCTTCTGTCTAAACTCCTAAAACTAGCATGATGGTCAGTTATCAAGATTGCCTTTGCCTCTTCGCGCTGTTGGACGTTCTCTCTCTCTCTCTCTCTCTCTCTCTCTCTCTCTCTCTCTCTGTCTGTTCTACAGTCATGGAGGTTGTGGTCACTTATGACATTTCGGTCTCGCCGCTAAGTCATGCCGGATGCACCTTTCGGCGGCTACAAGCAAAGTGGCCAGGAGCTGAGGCAAGTCCGGAGGTTTCGACATGACTTGAATAAAGGTCTAGTTTAGTCCGGTCTCTGGTTCAGATGAAACCTGGTGCCACGAGCTCAGGAAACGCCCGTGAGTGGGGACTGATGGGACTGGAGGAGTACCTGGTCACGAAGACTTTGGCTGGAAAGCCGCCTTCGAAACTTTAAAGACCAGGCTCATAGCTGGATTTTGAGAGTCTTGGTAGAGAAGCCATGACGCATTATTTCAGGTTTCGTTGGAAATCCGCTCTCACAAGGAAGGGCAAGACATCTTTTGCATCATGTACAGAGAAGCGAGCACACAAAGATCAGGCTTGCCAACTCGTCTTCTTCTTGTTCTTGTCGTTGCTGTTGCTGTGGCTGCTGAATCACTGCCATAAAAATAGAGATGTCCAAGTGCCACTCAGCCGCCAGGAGCTTGAAGCCTTGAAGGCAGGGGCTTCCATTCCGGCATGATCGCTTGTCCATTGAGAGGGCGTAATAAAATGACTTTGGATCCAAGCAGGCTTGTCGAAGTACCACATTACTGCCAGTATTGGTATTGCTATTTCGTTTGCTACTTTTGCTGCTATCTGTTGTCCTGCTGCAACCTGCTGCCCGTATTACGGCTGCTACAACGTGTGCTCCTACTCGTGCTGTGCTTCTTCCTGCTGCTCATACTCCTGACCATCAGAGTCTAGAACACCACCCAGTGTCATCGATGTTGCAGCTTTGCTGTCGTTGTACTTATGATTTGCTTCTCGTTGTTTGTGCAAGCTAGCTACTATTTCCTGTTGCCATTGCCAGTCTTGCATTTCTCGATGCACAAGCATGCCTCCAGGCATAAGATCTTTACGGTTCATGAACTGTTGGTTGTCAACCTTCCTGTCCTTCTCCTTCTCCTCTTCCCTCTTGTTATTTCAGGCCAATGAGCGCTTCAAGGATCATCCTTACGTGGCTTTTGTGGACAAGCAAACGCCTTGGCTAAGGGCAACCTATGCCTCAGAGGCAGGCTCATGTGTGTACCGGGTTCCGCCTGAAGTCTGGCATCACTTAGACTTAGGCTGTGTGTGTGTGTCCCCCTGAACTAGTATCCAGAACCAGTGTCGATCCCGAGTGGCCAATGATAATACTTGTCAGGCACGGTGAATGCATGGATGAATGCATTCACTGATTGGTTGGCCGAACCTTTTGATTTGTTGATTGTTTGGTGTTTGCGTGGGTCTCCTCTGCTGCCTCTGCTCTTGTTGAAATTGTCCTGCCCGTGTTGCTGCTGCAGACATTGATAGATTTCTTGTTGTACTCATGACCAGTCAGGAATCAGGATGATGATGATGATGATGATGATGATGATGGTGATGATGATGATGATGATGACGGCACGGTGATAGCCATGATGCTGTGTCGGACGAACAAGACTGAAAGGTGATGACGAGGATGGCGGGGGTGCTGTTGCTGCTGCTGATGCTGCTGTTGCCGACCACCGCCTCCGGCCACAACCACCAGCTGCAGCATGGGCACCGCCACCAGCACCCGCTCCACGAGCGCCGCCATCACGGCCACTGCCACAGCCAGAGGGCACTCCCGCCAGCACAGCACCGGCATCGGCACTGCAGAGGCACCAGCCGCAGATTCAAGGACGAGGGAGCGATGAGACAAGAAAGCAGGAATGGCAGCGAACAGGTACCGTTGGAGGAGTACTTGTAAGAACAAGAACAGGTAAGGGGAGTATCCGCAGTATGGAATCCTACCACAGGTGCCATGGGGCCTCATTCACGGTGCCGTCCCCATCTCGTTGTCACTTCGTGCAAGGCCATCAGGTGCATCAGCAGAAGATATGGTGGCACGTCCAACTGTAGCCTTCGCCGAGGTGATGCTTTCCTCGACAACACCTTGTACGAGGCCACGCGGTTGAGTTCCAGGCGTCACTCTGTTCACGACGGGAGCGGAAGAGTGCTCAAGAGCGGGCTGGAGCAGTGGAGCAGTCCTGCATGATGCTCATCCACATGGTTGTATGGTGATTCTTTCATCATTGAGAGACGCTCCCACAGTAATCCTGGTGCTCTTCAAAGCAGGAAGGGCCTCCCGGCAGCGGCGACTGCAAGCTGCTCGCCCTGGTAGATTGGGAGGACGCCCTTCTTTGCTAATGGGGTAGTTCTCCAAATTAGGGCCCCTAATACATTGCAGCTCAGTGCCTTGACAGTGTCTTGCCACCTCGGGGTCTCGCTCTTCAAGGGCTGGAAGTGAAAGTAGCCAGATCAGGAGTACATCTCGGCATCCAAAATTGGCAGAGTAAGGCCTAAGATGCATGCTGTTCCCGCAAAACCCGCTGACTCCAAGTCCAGTGAAGCTACTAGACGCTAAGCCCCCAATCGAACCAGAGTCGCCACATCCTCCAATCCCCAGCTTGTTGGCACTTGCCCACATTGTCTCGACGAACACCTTCCTTTCGCAGCCCCGAGTGCTTCACCGGAAGGCTACACAAGATCTTGTCAGCAGGGAATGGCATGCAAAAGCTCGCTGTTCAAGCCTGGACTGCACCTGGGGCTTTGGGTTGGTGGCTTAGAGTTAGTGTCTACGCAAAGCCGTAAAGCTTGGAACCTGGGGCCCTGGCATGGATCCAGATTAGACTCTCGCACGGGCGCTGACCCAGACATCGAAGGCCCTTCTTAAGCTGGAGAGCCCTTATTGGTCCATGTTGGTTCTTAAAATAGCTTCAATATGTTACCTAGTTAGCCCTTATTGGTAGGTTGTTTCTTAAAATAGGTTCAAAACTCTGAGCCTTCTTAGATGTTACCTTAGTTAGCCCATGGAGTCTCGCAAAGATGGCGAGCTGCTCCTGCCGGCTGCGGCGGTCGCGGGAAGGACATGGCAACGCCCCTGGGTGCCAGGAGTGGTCATCCCATAGCTGTTGCATTATACCGCAACTATACTCTTTCATAACCTTGTCAAATGTTCGCTTCGTGAGAAATGTCGTTGGGTCTTTGGGTCATGCCAGTCTTAGATTCCAGGCTTTCTGCTGCGGATGCCGGTGCTGGACGCGGCAAATACCTCCCCTTTGATCGAGGCCAGGCAAACTGCAGATTGGATCCCGAAGCCCTAAGATGGGTAAGGGTACTCAGCTGGATCTGCAGGCGAAAGGGGCGAACAAAAACCTTAGACTTGGATGGGTTTGGGGTTCCCGCTTCTGCCTGTCGCGAGCCACGAGCCCCCAGCACTGGACGCATGCGAGGAGCTCGGTGGCGAGGTGGTTCGGAACCTTTACCGTCGACCGGCCCCTTGGACCATCAAAATACAAGTACGTATCTACTGTACATGTATGTATGCATGTATGTATGTATGTATGTATGTATGTATGTATGTAGGCAAAACTGCGCATGCATGTCAGTTAGTTGCTTCAGCACCAAAATAGCCGCTCTGAGGCGCCGGGCATTTGGAAGTCGGCCCCGAGGAACTTTTGGCCCTTCGCTGTCTTTTGCATGTTCATGCGGCCGGTCCAGACTTAGCCAGATTAGGCCGGATTCCCTCAGTAGGCTCTGTTGCTGATGGCGCTGCTTCCTTTGTGTGGCCCAGGTCGGGACTTTGCGTGCCTCCGTTTGCTCGCATCGCCAAGTTCCAGAAGGACTTGGGGGACATGCAACGCGGTCATGCTCATCAGCACATTGGGAAGATTTGGCAAGGACAGCGCTCTTTTTTTCAGCTTTGCTCTGCAGCTGACGGTCGTCATCATGCGTGCAACCAAGTGGCTCTCTGTGACTCTTTTCTCTCCTGAGCTGAAGCTTCACGTGGCAAAGGTATCTGCCAAGACTGGGTGTCATCCTTCGAACACGGAGAGGTCCCTGGCAAACTTACCTGCTCCTGGGGGCTTTCTGGTGTTGCTCGGTGCTTTTGACGACCGGCTGCATTGATTTGGAGCCATCAGACCACACCTGTTTCAGACGACTGCCAAACCATCAGATCAGCCGAGGAAAAGCCGAGCCTATGAAAGGCTTCCCATAGCTTTCTGCTTCCTAGCCACCTGGCGTGTGCAGCTGTGTTGTGCCAGCGATTGAGTGGATGCCTCTGAGGTTTCCAATATCCGGATGCCACTGGGTCTTGTGCTGAGGGTTTGTTTCTGCGGAAAGCAGTACACCCTTGTGCAATACCTGGGAGCCTCGATGATTGCGAGCAGCATCCTTGTGGTGCCCGGTGCTTAGTGACAAAAAAGTTGGCGTATCTCCAATTCGATCGCTCAAGTGTAAACCAGAATAAAGGCGTCGCAGACAGATGCTTTACACATCATGTAAGATGGAGTGCACTGGATGAATGTATGCATGCACGCGAGGTAGGTAGGTAGGTAGGTAGG